AATCTATATAAAGAATAATATCTCTTAATTTTGTTTTGTGTTATTACGTTGTTATAGAGCAATTGCGCAGAGCGTTGGGTCAAGTTGGGTGGGGTGGCCGGATGACTGATCTGGCCGGATGACTGATCCTTAACGTTATGTACTTACTAGTAGTACTTGACGTCATGATGTCTGATCGCGGGTTGGCGCGTCATGCCAATCTCCTTTTTTCGCGACCGACCTTTCTAATGCTAATATCGTTCAGTTTCAGATCGATGGCCCTAAAATCGCGTAGCAAAAGCCACTAGATAAGGTGAGCCACTCATGTCCATTCCCGCCGCCGCCGCTCGCCCCTCAACCGATCGTACCTGAAGATTAGCACCACGTCTATGATGACGATACAGGGGCCACAGAAAGCCATGATGGTATGTCATCACGTTTTGGGAATTCGATGAGGTCGGTGATAGAAAAAAAAACGGTGATGTAAGAGCATGACTCTATAGGATGTAGAGGAGGTTGGGAGTCGAGGTATACATGTGTGTAGGGTCAGTTGTCTTGTATGGGAGCACAATCTTGTCATACCACAGTATACACTTCAAAGTATTCAACTCTATCTTTGCTATCCAACAATGGCACAATTTGTTACTAAAACAAAAGCTCATACGTTACACTTTTCCTATGATGAAGATGACAGCTGTGCCCTGACAACTCTCATCAACGATGTCCGCTACCATGTCATGGTTGATCCGAACGAATTGAAAAAGTCCCGCGAGAAGCCGTTGTATTACGAATACCTCGACAAGATATCAGCACTTCGTGAGGCTGAAGAGAGGGAAGAGGAGTTGGCTGAAGAGCAACAAGCCAGAGTCAATCGTAGCAAAGTGAAAAACAAGAACAAAGGCAGGGAGGACAGGGAGGGCTCAGATAGTAAAGACAGTGGTATCGACGTCACAGCAGACGGTGATGACGATGAATACGTGGAGGGCGATGAGGAGGACGAGGAGGAGGTTGGAGAAGACCTAGAGCAAGATTCAGCCAGTGCAGGTTTGGAGCTGCGTAACTGGATACTCGGAGCACTTGCAGACATCACGAAAACTGACGCACCACCAAATCGCGAACCAGAAGAGTCCACACTGTACGAATGGTACCACGGCCCTACATACTTCTACAACCTGCAAATCACCAACGGAGAGCTCTGCCCTAAACTCCTCGAGACAACCCCAGAACTCGAAGCAAAAATCGAAGCCCAAGTCCCCCGCCTGAAAATGCCAAAATACATCCAAAACTACGATCTCCCCTGGCTTAACCCCAACGACCTAACCGTACAATCCGAAGTCAGCATGCCACCCCCCGCGCACCCAGGCCAAGTCATCCACAAAAAGACGGGTGTAGTATATTTCTTCAAACCCGTGGTACCCGAGCAACCCGACTCTGTCAAACGCGAAATCCACATCCTCCGCAAACTCGAGACGCTAAATCTCAACATAAAATTCCCAAGCCTCCTCGGCTTCGTCTCCCTCGGCACCAGCAAAACACAAGTAATGGGCATGCTTCTCCAGAATATCCGCTACCCAACGCCCCTAACCAAACTCATGCGGTCCAGCGTCGACGCCGGTGCGCGTGCGGAGTGGAGTCGCAAGAGCGAAGCTTATATCCAACAGCTGCATGAGCATGGGATTGTGTGGGGGGATGCGAAGGCGGATAATTTCATGGTGGATGCGGAGTCGGAGCTGTGGATTATTGATTTTGGGGGGAGTTATACGGAGGGGTGGGTTGATCCGGAGATCAGCGAGACGGTGGAGGGTGATCGCATGGGGTTGGAGAAGATTCAGGTTGCGTTGGAGGATCCGGAGGGGGGGACGGTGGAGTTGGGGATTGGTGGGGAGAGCGAGGAGGAGGAGGGTAGTAGTGCGGTAAGGGAGACGGCGAGTACATTGTTTGTTACGGAACGGTCGGCGGATGAGGAGGTTACGAGGGAGGAGAAGAGGAAGAGGGCGGAGAGCGAGGTTGGAGAGGGGATGGGGGAGGATAAGGGTATGAGAAAGAGGAGAAAAGAGTGATATCCTGGCTTCATAGTGTTCATCTCTTGTAGTGTGTGACCAACAAACTTTAATGTTCTCTCCATGTATTTTTGACTTTTTATAAGTTTGTATGGTATACCCATATTGTCATGGTTGTGTGGTATAGTTAGATATACATATCCACAAGTCACGTATCAGCTGACCAGACACTGTCATGTCAGGAGCTGAGCCTTACAAGCTCACAGATGTAAATAACACCACCACAACCCCCAACATGCCAATCATCACGATGGAAAGTGACTCACTTGACATCCTCACTGCTGCGCCCAATGCAGGACGGCTACTACCAGCGCCTTGGTTTGGCGCTATTTCGCCTTGCCCATTTACACCTCCATTCTGACCCGCCCCCGTCCCCCTCGATCCGTCGTCCTGGCCATTTGCACCAACCTGCCCTCCATCACTTCGTGGGCTAGTTTGAATCTGGATATCTCGCATGGGTTGTCCAGGCGGGTTATTCACGCTGTTAACCTGCACCTGAAAGTCCTCTAGCGGATTCTCCATCATAGCACACTGCATGCGGCCTCCATTTGCGCTCAGTGGGCCAGGGGCAGGCTTGGTGGTCAACTGGCCTGCACCAGGGAACTGCTGGATACTGTTGGTAACGCTGATTGGCAGATTGAAAATCGTGTATCGATCTACACCGTTGAGTCGGTAGTTTTGGTGGATACTGATGTTGTAATCGCCTCTTGCTGTTGCACCTTCATCGTCGTTGCCATCGCCGACGAGACAGTCTGGCCATTCGAAGTTGATGTGCTTAACTGTTTGACCAAGCTCTTGGTCGAGTATGTCTGCAAAGGGTGGCGTAGAGGTTGTTATATTAGAGATTGTGAAGTTCTTTTGGGTAATGGTTGAGGTCAAGAAGAGAGTGAAGTTGAAGACTTGGGTGAGTGGGTCGGCGATATTGCGTGGAGGGACAGGCAATTTGCCGTCACCTGACACGTCGAGGGCAATGTGCAGGAAGTCGCCGCCCATAGGCGTGAAAGGCTGAGGCTATGACAGCTTATCAGCATGGAGTGCCTTTCCGCTAGGATATCAGGTGACGTACTGCTAGTATTATTCCCAAACCAGGCGTATAAATTCTCCCGTTAACGATAGTGAACGCACTTGTGTCAGGGCCATTGTTATTGCCATTCTGGCGCATGTAAAGATCTCTTTGACTTGGAGACCACGACCCCAGCATCTGAGCATTGACAGCTCTGGATATTAAACATGATGAAAAGAAAAGTAAAGAGCGGTAGTACGAAGAGAAGATCATTGCTCAACAACGATATGCATGCTGGCCAGCAGTCCCAACAAAAAAGAAAGGGAAAAAGGTACGGGAAATTGGTGCCTGAGGAACTCAATCTACTCAGTGAAGGAAGAAATCAAGGGCGCGCGAGGAATAGATTGCAGCCCGGTAATATGCAAGTCAGGCCCGCCACGGCCGGTTGTGGCTCACCGGGAAATAATGGTGCATAATGCTTGGTACTGTGCGAAAGCAGGTTTATTTCAGCGACAAGTGGTTAGAATCAACATCTTTGTGGTTTGTGTGCAGTCTCGAAATGATTTTCTGAGACGTGACATGTTTGGAACCGGAGTTCGGCGGAGGTTCAGCCCGCACCATCGCGTATTTTTTTCTCTACGTGTTAAGAGAAATCGAAGAACAATAAGCGATTCTTCAATCTTGGTAAAAACCACAATACGAGTAGGCATTTCGTGTGTGAAGAAGTTGGGGGAAGCGTTGCGAAGCTACTCAACATGTCAGGTTCCAACTACACAGTCGCTGGCGGCCATCAAGGGTGTACACATTATCCACCGCGGAAATACAGAAAGAATGATTTTGCCTTCAAACACAAGTACAAATCATTTCGCTCTGGGCGACCATTTCTGTTTTAATATCATGACCCGCCGTTGACACTTACCATTTCCGCTCCATTCCGACCACGCTCAAACGCTCCTCCCGTCAACAACATCACGCGTCCCGAGACGAAACTGTCTTAAGACATTCAGAAACCATAACACACGATACCCTAAGTCTCTATAGACGACCAAGGAACGGCATTACGAGTGCGAATTGATGCATTACTGAATGTCAAAGCACACGGGTCTTGCAATGCCCGCATACGAAAGTACCGATGGGCGAATCCAGCATCGCATTACATAACACACAGCACAGTTGTGTTCACAGCAACTGCCGAGCACCCATCACCAACACAGGATCTGTGGGACGGCATAAAGAAAATCACGGGATAATCCGCTCTTGTGATTTGCTGCATAGATTTATCTTCTGGAGAGGGAAAAATTGTCCCAACTCCTCGTTTCATGCTTGTCGCAAGTCAGCGACGGCCTTGAAATACTCATCATCCTCCCGGCTATACGAGAGCCTGAACGACAGGCCTGAGCTGCCCGACTTCCTGGATGACCAGTTCATAGCCAGGATACGAACGATCGAGCCCAAGAGACACTCTAGTGAACTAAGCCAACACTGACAAGATGGGCAACGTTGCTCTTGGTAAAGATGCAAAGACACGAACACAAATACGACCAGCGATACAGGAGAACCAAAGCACGTCTCGCTGAGCGGTTGGTGCAATGCCATCAAGGACACCCAATACCATCAAAGACCAGATGCATCGAGAGAAGGGCCCAACAACCAGGATCCGAATCCTCCCAAACTTTCAATAACTTTGATTGAACAAAAAACTGCCCATCTCACCCCAAAATTACCGACTCTTGACCGAGCGCAACCCTCGCGATCATATCGACCCAGAAAAAAAACAGACACAAGTTGGGCAGCGGAGGTTCATTATCCGTCCCCTCGGTATCCAGCCAACGAACCGGCAAAAAAGAAAGTTGCTAAACGGGCTTTTGCTGACATAGCAAAAGTCTTTTAACGGCGGGCGGGCGCAAGGTCCAACGATAACAAGCGCCATCTTATAATAGCCGAGTCCAAATACGAATCACCTATCCGCTGCGCAATTTTTCCGTCCACCACCACCACCCTTCGGATGCTTTCTTGATGAATCCAGCCGAGAAAATAATAACAATGATAATAATAATGGCTAGTATAATGCCGCGTACCTACTTACATCCGACAAACCAACAGGCTCAATTCATTCACTCCCCCCCGCAAATTCCGTGCGTCTGGAAACGAAAAGACTGCAGGCCTGTTTTTATTTTGGGGAGGTGTGGATGGAGTGGGTTTGCTGACTATCATGTCATTCTCACGCGACGGGGTGCTTGGGGGGGGGGGGATCTCCCTCTCCACACGAGCGAAAAGGGAAGGACCAGGTTGTTTATGGGGTAGATCGATTCGCATCTAGACCCGATGAGATGTTTCCTTTACTACGGGCAGGCGCATCTAGGCCTCTCGGGTGTACCTTGGCAGGTAATCCTTCTAAGATATCCTTTGGGGGGGGGAGGGGAAGAGAGGGGAAAAGGTAAGTAAGCAAAAGAAACACTCAAGGTTAGAACCGAGGAACTTTAAATCGGTCTTTTTTTCTCTCTTTTATGCCCTGCGCATACGTACTACTACCACTGCAAAGCGTTCTGAACGTAAGCACGGCTGGGGGGGGGGTGGGGTGAGCAAGGCCGACCTGCATGCGGTTAGGGAGGGCTGAGTAGTCTGTCAGGGTACGTAAGTACAGTAGGGCTAGTAAGTTCGCGGCTAGCCACGCGAACAAATGTCAGATAGTATCGTGCCATGCCGGCACGGGACTTTCCCTTGCCCCTCGCCTCGCGCTCCCCTTTTTACTTGAGACGCTGTAGTAAGACGAAGACAGCGCCGAACGTGTGACTGGTTCGGATGGCTTTTTTTGCGAGAGGCGCTTGATACTTAGCTCCGACTTTGTGTGTCTTACGCCACTCTGTCGGGTTGCTTTTTCTTTTGTGCAAACTTTGCAAACGATGTTTGCTCCGCGGAGAGTTATGCTCAACCCAAGTCAAACTCGTTTGGCTATCCTAGGACCAAAATCTCGTGCATGTATGTGTGTGTGTGTGTGTATATGTGTGTCAAAAGCGAGAAAAGGTCATTTATGGGAAACGCGTGTTGCAAGGATTGGGTGAAAAATATTGTGTCATTATTTCGTGCGCGTGCGTGTGTATGTGTATGCGCGCGCTCTCTCAAAGGTTAAAGGTGAACGAAAGAAGAGAAGAGAAAGAACAAAATGTCTTTTGGAAGAATGGAGAAAAAGGAGAAATTAGAATTAACGGATATCAAGAGACATGCTTTCGTTAGGAAAAAACAAAGAAAATATTGGTATCGATCGGTATATCCCTTCCAGCGGTATTACCATTGCTGACCTTCATTTTGCCTCCTGTAATGCGGATCTGACAAGACAGACGACGCGCTATCCCTCTCAATCTCGTGCGACTCTGTTGAAGTCGTGTGAATAAATGCCTTCTTCCCGCTCTCCACCAGACTTTCTGTGCTCGCTTGTCTGCTGTGACTATGCACTGTGAATTCTGTCGTCTTGACCACCTGCGCTGGCATAGTCTTGTTATTGCCCTTGCCAGTGCTAACGTGGACCTCCCAGGTGTCCGTTTCGTCCTTTCCTACCATTGACCGTTGGATGTTGCTCTTTGCCCTCATCGTTCCCAATGGCACGCTTCCAGCCTCCGGCTCGCGGTTTGCATATGCGTTGTTGCCGTAGGAGCTGGCTCCGTTTCCGCTCCTGGCCTTTCGCGTCAAATTGACGAGGCGAGTGAGAATGCTGAATTCGAGTTTGAGCTTGATGCTGTATACAAGTGGCTTCCAGGACGTTTGGATCTCAAAAAGGCTGGCGAATTCCAGGGCGAGAATACTGAAGTCGAGGAGGATGACAAGAGTATTGACCGATATGAGATGGTACAAAAGCTTCCGGGTACCGACGTTTCCAATCGTACGCTCCAGGCGGAGGAGTTTGGTGGTTTCGAAGAGGTAGAGGCCTGAAATGACGAGTTCTTGAGCGATGAAGACACTGAGTTGGATTCGTTCGTATACGTTATACACCGGTATCCAGGGCTTCGGGTTGGCTGAGTTTGTACCATAGACGATTATGATAACAGGAATGTGTAGCCAGATTGCGTTGACGATAATCATGGTCAGGACATACTTGAGCCATCGGAGGTTGTGCATAACAATGTGTAGCCGCGAATACAACACCACTGACTGGCCGGTGATCATACAACACCATCCTATGAGGATTAATGTAGCGTATACGTTCTTCGTCTTGATGTTGACCAAATGCATAAGCATGTATCCGATCGAGTTGAAAAGGACTCCATATGTGGCAACCGTGAAACTCCAGAAATACAGCCCGCTGCGCCGTTTGAACAAGGTGAGAATGTAGACATTAAGCTCGAGAAAGTTGTACAATGCTATGCTGAGAAACACGGCCACGATGACCTTCATGGTGGGAAGGGCGATCGCCATGGTTGGCAGAGCAGGGGGGGGGGTGGTTGCGAAAAGGATATCGTAGAACAAAGCAAAAAGGTGGAGTTGATGAGCGTTCAGATCTGGGAGATCAACCTCCACTTTACTTCAAGAAGGAACCCACCCTGCACCCATCTTGGCGCGCATGTGTGGGTGCCCTGTCAACCATGGGGAACAGGACTATCTCAAACGTCAGCGTTTTCTCCGTAGGCGAGCCGTACCCTCAGGGATAGGCTTCATCATGGTTGAGCGCCTTAAACCAAGCCCTTGTTCCCTTGGAGGGGGTCGAGCCGGAGGGGACTAAACTACCATCTTTGGTCTGATGGCGAGCCGTTCTCAATAGGTGGCTCGGCACTTCATTCAGGTCGCGAATTGCCAACTTGGCAAGGCCTTGTCTTCGCTTAACCACATGCTCCTAGTGCCCTATGGATGGTAAGGTAACGCGGCCCTCGCCACCCCTGGCAAGTAAGTATTGCAAGACATCGGGCCTTTCAGCTAGGTCTCAGCTCTTCGCATATACTTATACTCTTGTCAGAGCGGGGGTTGCCATTCACCAGGTTGACAGATCTAGTGAACTCTCTTTTGCGAATAGTTCAGTTCACGCTGATTTCAATCTCCGTGCAGACCCTGAGCGAACTCGAGGTTTCTACGGGCATGAACTCAAGCTGGGAAGGTCGAAATGCTATGCTCCGATCGGGCGCCGTCTGACTATTGTCGCGAGGGACCCGAGGATTTGGTCCGCCCACCCTTTGCAATACACCTGTACATGGGCACGGAGAAGGGCTAGAAGGACGGTCTTACCGACCACTGTAATACACATGGTTGCTGCGCGTCAACACACGGGGAGGCGCACGGAAGAAGTAAAGGTAGATCGATGATGCGAGCGGGGGAGATGGAGGAGGGTCATCAGACGACTCATGCGCTCGTCTGTCCCAAACTCCTATGCATTGCAGATGGTCCCTGGCAGTGGCGGGTTAGGCGAAGCCTTTGTCCAATAACACAAAATGTGTGTCAGCGCCTCTGCACCCAAAGTGAAGGGCTGACATGAGGGTAAGAGGGTCCAGGTGGTTGCTTCTTGGCGTACCGCCGACACCTCGTGGGGGGAGGGAAGGGGGTTGGTATGATCGACCGATCTTGGAAGATCTTGGATTACTCAGTTTCTACTACTCTGATGTGTGATGATTAGACCAAGAAGCACAAGAAAACTTGGGACGGTGAAAGGTACGAAGTACGGTAGGTGGACGGGTCGCCCGTATCATGTCCAAACTCTAATCCTCTCTCTAACACAGGGACTAGTGTCGTGCGGTGTTTTGACTGGTTTCGTAGGCCCAAGTCTTTTGCAAGCTGCAGGAGGGTGCGCATTTGCGAAGGGGCATTCTTTCCCATGGGGCTGTGCGGCGGAACGGGGTTCCTCGGCCCTTCTATTCACGCCGACAGGCTTGGCATGGCACATCAACACCAATCTCCGGTGCCGCTAGGCACTCCGCGGAAGCCAACTTGCCACAGCGGCCGAGCTTCTAACCAGATCCAAAACGGAAGCTGGCTATTCGGAACCATGGACGGTCCGGATGCCATGGACGGTAGGTAGCGTCAGCTGTGGCGTGACCATTTGATTCGTGTTCGCATTCACCACTCATTTCCGCCATACATTCCTACTACTTACATACTACATGCGGCATGGCTTTGTTCGTTCAAATATCGACATTACATTATGTTTTGAATATAAAAAGCCCGGTACACGACTCGTGAGGCCTACTCGGTATTGCGCTATTGTACAAATGCAAAAAGTCTAAGGTACTCCACTACACCACACTACGTGTACGTGCGCCTATTGGATCGGTGTGCCCGTGGTGGAAGCAGAAAAGGTGGCGTAGAAGAGCTTGGTCTGTCCCGTAATGATCATGCGGCCGTTTCCAGCAAACTGGAAGTTGGCAGCAGTCGTTCCCGTATAGATCTTGCCAATAAGCTTAGCAGCGGCATTGTAGACCCAGACGCCATCGCCGCAGCCAACGTATACACGACCCTTGGAGTCGTTCTTGATACCTGTGCAATTTTTGTTAGCAAATGCAAATATTCCATGCGTTGGCGCGTATAGATTACATACCGTCAGGGATGAAGGCTGGGGTGAAGGCGAAAGTCTGGCGGTTGTTGAAAGTACCATCCTTGGTAACATCAAAAGAGTAGACGGATGCAGGGGCCGTCAGGTTGAGGCCGTAGTTGGCATTGGCAATGCCGGTATCAGTAACGTAGGCCTTCTTGCCATCAGGGGAAAATGCGATTCCATTGGGGTGCTCCATTCCATCAGCTACAACGGTGACAGCACCGGTGCTGAAGTTGTAACGGTACACTTGCTGCCTAATACCAGGGTAGGGGCGGAAGGCCTGGACATAGCCGTAGACTGTGTCGGTGAAGTAGAGATCACCGTTCACAGGGTTGACAGCAAGATCATTGAGCGAGTTGAATTGGCGACCAAAGTAGTTGTTGAGAAGGGCTATCTTTTGTTAGTGATCATCCCCAACTATGCTTTTTGGAGGGTTTAAGAATAACTCACTAGTAGTCTTGTAGGGTGGCGAAGGGTCCATGACGTAAAGCGCCGATGCCACACGGTCACCCTGACCCTCACCAGCAAAAATGAGCTTTCCTTTATACATGGTAGCACCATTGGGGTTGATGATCTGGGGGTTCGATGTGTTGACAATTGAGATGGGCACCGACTTCAGAGTTCCCTTGCGCACCCTCTCGGCATCGGCAATGGCGATTTTTTGGATGATAGCAGACTTGTTCAATCCAGTGCCTGCAGCAGGTGGCCCGGCGTTTTGAACGAAGAAGACTTCATTGGTAGCAGGGTACCACGTTACGGCCTCGTGGAAGAGAGGATCCGATGGTGAGGTTGCAATGGTAGTCAGAGACGGATCAGTGCCAATCACATCATAGAATTCCGGGTCGTAAATGTGGAAAGGTTTGTCTAGGAGTGATTTCGCGGTTGTACCAGGCCATATAAACGGCTGCCTCTGGTCAGATGATGCAAAAGGCAGATGCTTTTTTTGCAAAAAGAAAAAAGAAAAAAGAAAACTTACGGTGGATCCGTTGTATTCGACGGCAGGTGGGACGACAGGCAGAACATTGAAGCTCTTCTGGTCAACAATCTGGGCACATTTGGGCACGGCATTTGTCAAAGCTTGTCCAATTGTCGCGCCGACAGCGACGAGTGATCTGGTAGAAGGCATCGTGAGTTTGTGTTGTTTAGCTGTGACCCGGGAAAAATCGGTGCTGCAACCAGTACAAGAGCTTTGAAGAAAGATGCTGCGCCGCTCTTTGTATTCACGGTCAGCGGGGGATCCTCCACTGGTGTTGTAACCCTACGCCGAAATTGGCTGCTCTTCCGTATCATGTAATCTGAGCACAAAAGTCTGGCGGCGGTAAGCACCATGCAGACGACCGGGTAGCGGTCACGCCCGGATATGGGTCCCACTTGTGGCTTGGGCGACCAGGCATGACGCTGTGACCCCACGGGGTTTGGGAAATGTTGCCCCACTGCAAGACCCTTCTACATCTACTATGTACTAAATACTACGACAAACTCATGTGATGCAGCCATGTTGCCCGAATTTACAGATAACGAAAGCGACAGTCTTTGCTGTAGATGCAGTCAGCGAACATTTACCTGGGATGCATATATTTTGCATAAGACAGCCTATGATAATGAGCTAAAAACCTGCATGCAGGCTGCTATACGAATCCTTGTAAGCCAACGTGTGCATGCCGACAACCTAGACCATGGTGTTTTCTTGGCTCCTATCCCTTGCGTACCAGGGGTCTGCCCTTTGCAAATTACCGAAGTCCTTTGGAGCATTGACAACACCCCAGCAGTGTACAGCCTCGCGGTGGTTGAGGCAGTATACAGGAATCCAAGCCGTTGCCACCAAACGCCCAGGATACCCAAATAGAAACAGCATGGCTAATGCCGGACGCAAAAGTTCTAGTAAAATAAATAGTGCATTGTAAGCAGCACGTCGTTGAGTCGGGCTGCACATGTCTCCAAGCGAGGCCTACCCTAGTCCCCGTGAAGCTTAGCCTCCATCTTACCGGTGAGGTAAGCCCAAAGTAATCGTGAGACGCCTCCGTGCCGTTGCATCAATCAATCGGGCTGGCGTAGATCAAGGTCGATTGATTCGTCTCCTACCCATGTAAGAACTATGGTGTGGCATGTTCGCCATGCCCTCTCGGCGCCATTATGTGCCGCTTGGCGAGTAGGCAAAGCACATGGCTATGTCGAATTGGGGCCGTCTCGACCCAGTTTGGCACAGTAATTCATCCCCAATAGTGTATCCCCCCAACTAAATACTTTTAGGTGGCGTATTTCCCACGTTTCTCGCGTCATACTCTACCGTTCGGTGGAAAGTTCGTCAAAAAACAATATTCGGGCGTTCGAGATCCATGCTGCGCCAACTCTACGGGATGGATTGCCAAGATTCTCGAAGACGGCCTGCGACCTTCTAGAAGGCCTCTTGAGACACGGCAAGAAACTTGTATTTGCGAACACGACGCGGCACCAGATGTGACAGCGTGAAAAGATCTTTTGCCTTTCACCCACGCGGGATGCTTTCAAGTTACATGCTTTTGGTTCATCATTGGCTTGTCTCTGAGTCGTGGCTGCATTATACAGAGTGGTAGTACGGAATAATTTACTACTTGAGGTATAGGTTACGGCACGGAGGCGACGGGATCGAACATGCGATAAGGTGATATGTAGTAGTCCTTTCTACTTAGTGCCCCAACGCTATGGTAATTTATGTTGATAAACGGATAAATACAAAGTTTCAGGCTGCGGTCACGTGATGCCGATCTTATCTGATAACACAAAAAACCTCCGACAATGTGGCTTTGCAATCGATTACCTACCTGACTGCTCATCTACCGGTGAACTGCTTAATTAGCTCTCCCCAAGTGGGTTTCAAAGTTGCATAGTCAAGTATTATCAGTGCACGTATCACGTCCTTACAGAAACCCAGAATATATCCGTTGAAATCTCTCTTCTTCGCAAGTCCTCCTATGTGTCCTACTTGTAAAGTGTCCTCTGAAGGCAGTTTCGTAGTTGGCTAGGATAGCTTTGACATTTAAAAATAAATCGTTCAACACTTTATGCGATTCTTAAATTCCGGGCTGAGAAAAGCGTCTAGGAAACAGTGTATAGTGTCATTAAGGAATCCATGCTTCTATCTTGCCTCACCTTGTCTCTCTCAAAGAAGCCCCTTGTCTATTACCACGGGCAGAGACGTATGTCAAATGTCAAACGAGGGCCGAGACGAATACATTAACATGCCGTGATGGAGTAGCTAGGTGATCTAACGGGAGAATGTCTAAGGATTGTAGTGAGAGGCTTGCTTCTCCGTGGTAGATATCACTTTCTTACATATATCATACCCGTACAGTTAAAGGGTATTTATGTATACCATTCTAGCTAGGTTAGCCTTAATAAAACTTTGATAACTTAAAGCTTTTACAGTGATTTATAATTAGATGCTAGTGTAATGGGCTACGCAGTGAATAAGACACGTAGTGACACCACGTGACTACCGTAGAAGCACGCTTAGCCAACGAAACCTCTTCGTACGAAAACACCAAGGAAAGAGTATAAAGTAGTAACTTTCATACGATAACTTGGCTCTTCTTATCTTTCTTCTTCTATAGTATAGGTTAATGCAAACTCGTTCGAAGGCCTCTTCAACCCCTAATAGAAAGTATTCATTTAACTTACCTATCTTGTTTTCTTTATGTAGATAGCTAATGGAAATTCTAAGACTCTCTATAATTCTATGTAATCCTATATGCCTCTAAGTAATCCCTCTACTAGTACGGATCTGACTAGTCTTTCCTGCGCTGTTACACCTAGAAGAAGATCTACTCGTCACATTGCTGACAGAAACTAGTACTACTTGAGCAAGAATATCACTAAGCGACAGAGGCCTGGCGTCCGATCAAAGGTCGCCCGCTTATAGAAGCCGGAAGCTGCAATTGCATGAGAGTGTACATAGGATACTACATACTAAAAGCATGGCCTTATAGTAAGTAGATAAGATGGTTTAGATGATGAATAATCAATTCTCTCAACAGTTTCCTCACGCACAAAAACGAGCGAAAATAGAACATCTACCTAGAGCTAACCCTGCAGCCCTTGTATTTTCTCATTTACATCCTTATTCTGGCGCAGTTCTTTCGTTACAATATCCATAAGTAGCACCCCAATACTTACGGCACCATTGTTGATCCCAAATAGCTGGAGTAACACTATTTGGTACAGCGCAATAGAATTTGCCTCGGTTATAGAAATTAGCCGTTTCGACCACCAATCCTATAAAAATTTAGTCAGTAAGCTTAACTAGGGAGATTTGATATATTAAATTATTTGGAAATGTTACAGTACCTCCATAATGATCACAAGTAATCTGAGTTCGATCTCTATTTGCTTGGTCCTGTCCTTTAGAGGCTCTTCCCTGTACCTGTTATTATCCTATCAAATGTTGTACGCTAAGAACTAAACTTACCATACACACACATCCTAAACCTGGTTGAATCTGTCCGTTACCACTGACTATGGGTGCGCTTATAGCAAATATTATAGCAAGTATAGACAAATGCATTCTAGTAGCGGGGCTGATCTGTAATAGAGAGAGTGAGAAGGAGGATATTTAAAGATATACTAGTAAAAATTGTGTAAGAGGCGCCGTCCAAGGAGCTATACTAGGCAATATTAGGTAACGAGATGATACCTGATAGAGAGCTGGTCTTAGAGGCTACGTGGTTACTTATATAGGCTGCCACAATGACTGATCTAGTATCCGTTACGATGGCATAGACGTCAGCAGTGAAGTAAAACCGATTAAACAGAAAACTCTAATTAGTTATGCGCCGGAGACGGGCCGGTACGAGAAAAGTGTCGCTTTATTATTTCTACAGCACATCTTACAAGTAACAGGCAGGATTCTCTCCTTGATAATGGGTCGCAAGTTGAAGACCAAGTGGATGCCACGTCAAAAGGTAATGATCACTGTTGGAATCAATTGGGACTCTGGCAGAGTCCAGATTGAATTGCTTGTTGCGGACTATACCGCTGACCGGCTCGCGCGCGTGTTAGCATGTCAGCTTAGTATAGGATTTCAGCGCTATACCACAGGTAGCCTACTAAGCCTCATTCAATATACGCTTTCTATATTAGTAAAGTATTCATATAACTTATTCTTATTACCTCTATTATAATACATACCAATCTTAATAGCGACAAACTCATCTATTCTTCTTGATTTTTCCAGAGCGATTGCATCAAAGCCACGTACTTTGTAGCTCAACTCAGTGATATTGTTACCTGGTAACAGCAAGAGAGAGATACATGGGAACATGTCCTCCCCTGCGTTCCCGATAGCCTCCCGAAGATTGAGCGTTTTTTTTTTTGCATAACTTGAGTGATATCTGGACGGATAGATCCACCCGCAAATTGGCCAGCTCATCAGCACAGGGATATGAGGATTGTTACGAAGAACGTGAGAACACAATAATGAAGGATGTACTCTGCGAACGCGAGGTACAACACTTATTGGAACTGGGCATGCCGTTAGATTGGAGATATCGATAATTTCATGTATTAATGGGTCTGTATATCGCGGCTTGACTGTAGATAGCAATGGAAGCAAGCGAGATAACATATTTGATTTATATGGACCGTCCAAGATCTGACACCTTGAAAACGAACTAAGCTATCGAAATCATCAAAGAAAACGTAGATGGCGAGAATGAGAGTTTCTTCAAGTGCATCTTCGTTTGGGAAAATAGCCAATACAAGCTTCTGATATAGCTTTCGTTAGTTGAAGGAATATGTGGGCATTGCTGCTTGCGAAGCTAATGGAAACTGGAACGCTACGTCAAGATTATCACATTGCCCTCAGGACAGTCTGTCCCGCTGCGTATCTTTATTCGATTGCTCTCCCTTATCTGAAAATGTGTTACAGCATAGTTTACTAGGTAACTTGTGTACCTCGTTACCATTGAGATAGGCAACACAAACATCATGCTGGCTACGCATGTCTAGTTGATTGGGACAGATTTCTCTTGCTTATTATCTATTCTTTATTTCCTCAGACTGTAGGGAGGCTGTTATAGCACGTGGGGTAGGACGTGAAGACGCTGCTTGCACAAATATTGCAGCTATCCCTTGAAATTTCAATCACCTGGCCCTGCAGTTTGATGAAAAATCAGGCGAGGATAGACAAATGTTCTTTAAAGAGACTGGCGACATAGCCTAAGTCACTCCATGCGTTAGTCAAGCAAACTGTATGCAGAGGTGCTGGATCAGAATTACGCATGTTCTTTGTTTTTTCTCGAGTCAATTCATCCCCTTACTAAAGCTGCTCTGCCGCTATCGCCTTACGATCTCAGCCCGGTGCCGATCGCGAGTGGTGTCAATGTCTAAGATCCAACAGGACTTACTGTGGACACAGGCGCAAAATGGAAACCGCGGCGCGATGATGTGAGTTGCATCACCATATAAATATTCCTGCTTGGGCAAATCTTCATCTTCTAGTCGCCATTTCTGCCTGATGATGGCCTTCACTGCTAAAGAAACAGCCTTTCGAATGCAGTTCCTGCTTGTGCCAGTATACAGCTGTCGAATGGCCACACGGCCATCGAATATAATGAAAGCCGGTAGGGACGGGTAATCTAAGCAAGCAATTGTATCACCGCGTTTGAATTCTCTCGCCATCATCCCCGCTGAGCGCAACTTGGAAGGCAGGAACTGCTGTTGGTTGCCAGTGTGCTGATGCAAGATACCCTTGAACAATATGGCGAAAATGGAATATAGCTTAGCAGGCAAGTCGTAAGCGCTTGAGTAGTACTCTTATCGTGAATTACGAATGTCATCTTCTAAGGTCTTGTTTGCTCGAAGTTGCTTTTAATTGGCAGATCTAGGACCATTAGCTACTGGCGGTGTACCTATATTGTAACAGTATTTTACTTTGCCTTGATCTAAATTACTCTTTACTCCGAACTGACTATAAGATATTACGATGCTGAATATAGATATTTTCCCTGAAGGATTCTTTTGCTCTGGCTTTTTATACACTCCGTGACGCTGGTCTCGAGTGGATTGACCGCCTCTAGGTTGAGGGTAGAGTACGGAGATTGATAAAGTTGTAGAAAACTCTGGTCTAACGAAGATATGACAGAAGCACCGATGCGTCCCTTGAGACTTATTACGAGCGGTGGCATTGGCCGCGGTGTAGATGATGATGGTTGTAGTTTTGTAACGGGGGAACCCACTTCCTTAGACAAACGGTCAGAAACAGCTGTCTGCAGCGGAAATAACAACGGAAGGTGTGGCACCATGCTTAAAGGTACATGTTTGCATGGCTGCGTTCTCTGAGTCCTCTGTGTTTTAGATTAGTGTTCGTTTTCGCGAAGATTAATTGTACGCTACTGTATCTAGGATGTGGTAGCAAAATTACAGAGTAATAATATTTGTAAGTCCTACAACCACTCCCTGCGCGAACCTAAGTAAGGTATAAGTAACTGTTGCACCTATAATAATAGTCTACTCAGCTGCTGTGAGTGATGCAGTCGACTCCTACAGTTCTTCTAAAATCAGCTTAATGCTAACGAACAGCACAAGGGCCGAGGCCTGTATAGTTGGCACATATGGCAAGATGCGAAACGAGATGAAGAAGGTAAGCGTAAGAAGTGCGACCAAGCCAATCTAATCCTATCCTGTTCAATCCTATCTTATCCTATCCAACCCTTCGTGTTCTCTGAACTTCGCACCCTAGGATTAGGCCAACCTCGATAAATGGACACTGATTATCTGTTCCCTGTCTTACAGTGACGCAGTTCTCCTGCAGTGCGGGAATTCCTATTTGGAACACCACAATCATTGAACCCACCACGAAAAAGAGGCAGTCCATTCGAGTCCATATGACTAAGTGCAAACAATCGGGCCCTGACTGAGACAGAACTTATTAAACGAGCAGTATTTTCGAGTGAAGGATTCGTGGATACCAAACCTCGTTGTGGAACCAAAAGCCCCAAGAGTGTCAATATGGCCTCAGACCTAAAAAAAAGTTATGTTAGAGTGAGAAGCGGATGCGATAGGGATATCTGGAATGACTACGAGCAACTCTTGCTTATTTGGTGGGTGCGTATATATGGTGCGCAATCGATGATGTGTGTGTATTTCGAGGAGAAGGGAGAGAGAGGAAGGAAGAAAGACGTGATTGGAGTTGGGGGGAGACATGAAGTACTTAAGACACATAGGTTCTCACCTTCTTCCTCAACATTGCAAGATAGACCATCACAAGCAAGATATTGAACACTAAATATGGGCATGGAAAATCGTGAGTGATATTGTTGTGTTGTCTTTCAATATGCGGTCAGAATATCCCACCTCCAAAAAAAACACCCCCATCCACCTTCCCAAGCCCCTTCCCAACCCCAATCCCGTGAGAGACCCAATCCGTCTTCCGTTCCAACGCCCCTTACCATCCTACCCTACCTACACACATCCCTACTTGAGACATTGAAGCCATTCCAATCATCCTCAATCACAAATAAAGACACAAAAGATAAAAAAACGCCAATCCCCATTCGCGCTATTTTCCAGCAGCGAAGGTATCCTCGTGGGGGGATGCATATGCAACGCACAAAACTCCAATGATGTTTCCCAATGTTTCCCCAAAGCAAAAAACCTTGAAAGCCCATAGTTATATATCGGCCGTTGAAAACATCAGAAAGCTCGTGAAACAGAGATGATGAAAGTGAGAAATGAACAAAGGAAAAAAGTTACAAAGGAAACAAAGAAAAACGAAATAATGGTCTCCAGCCCGAGTGGGGGAAAACCGTTCAAAGCAACAGAAATAATTGCCTTTTTTGCCCTTTATCGATGTCCAAACTCCGGTTCGTAATATAGAGTACAGGAGAGGGAAATCGTAAAAAGGTAACGGGTTATCGCAAAATGACACGCGAGACGGCTTGTGGTTCATGATGTAACCAAGACGGTGCGGAGCGATGAGTAGCGGAGATGATGCAATAGTGAACAGCCGCCAAGCGCAAGCACTTAGCTCATGTCCATCATATCGGCATCACCGTAATGTTCACCAGTGTATGTAGCAAGGACCTCGTCGCTTGGGCCAAAGTTGCCCTCATAGATTGTAGCGCCAGAGCGACGCCTAGAGTCAACCCATCGGCAGCCATAGCACTGGAGCACTTGGTCTGCCGTTGGTCGTTGATCAGGGTCACGGTTTAGCATTGCGTATACAACATGGTCCATGGAGTTGGGATCGTTGCGCTGCACCATGAAGGATGGTGCGCGTGCGAGGTCCTCCTCTGGGTTCGATGCTGGCTTGATGGCGATGCAGGCCATCGAATCCTCAGCAGCGTCAGACATGAGGAAGCCGTCCATGGAGGGCCTCGCCGACTCAGAGATTGGGTCGCCGTGAGAGTCTCGGCTGAGTGTGCTGCTGTCGGCGCTCCAAGTCAAGCTTGGGAGCACGTTTTCGAACTCGCCTGAACGAAGCTTCTGCCAGTAGTCGCCGTTTTCGGGGATAACACAGTTACCAGCGATTTCGGCGAGCATCATGCCTAGGGCAAAGACATCGGC